ATAAAAAAAATATAAAAAAAATAAAAATTTATAAGTCCAAGGATATTTCGTGTTCATAACATTCTAGCTTTAGTTTAAGCAGGAGCAGAAGTAGGAGCAGGAGCAGGAGCAGGAGTAGGAGTAAGGGCTTGCCTTTTCGGTACATTACAAAAGCATTTCCATCATCCCATTTACCTTAGTATTGTTTTAACTATTTTCCAAATACCTTTCAAATGGTTAGTAATAGAGCCTTTTGTTTGCATTAAAGAGACGTTTGCCTCTAATGCGTAGCATATGTAAAGTTGATAAGAAAATTTCAAGCTGAAGTGCTGGGCGCAACACTTTTACTTTCGCATTGATGGGACCCCTGAAAGCAGATGCTTAGCCGCTTAGCTGTTTATCTATTTATCTCTTTGAGGACTCGGTGACCGCTCAGTTGCTTAGCTTTTTATGTTGTGTCAGACAAAACCCAGGCACCTAAACCTTTTAACAGCAAATGATTTATGAAGTACACAGGCGCACACACACACTCACACATGGTTGGGAGAGAAAGAAAAATGAAATGGATAACCCAAGCAAAAACATGCAACGCAATTTGCTTTTATTGAAAAGGACAAGGCAAGACGGAAAGGCATTTTCTTTTCCTTTCCTTTACTTTTTCATTTTCAGTTTTTTTTTTTTTTTTTTCTTATTTTTTGAAGGAAGCAAAACATATGCACTTTTTTTGTATATGGATATGGTAGCAAATCTGAAGGAAGCCCGGCTCCAATTTTTTTCGACACTGAGGCGATAACAAGGCCAATCATTATGACTATGACAATGCCCGATAAAGGAAGAAGCTAACAAGAAAACGAAGCCGCAGTTGGAGTGTAGATTGTCAGCATCAGCATCAGCATCAGCAGCAGTGCCTCGCATGAAGATGGCGGCCAAAAACACTTGAGCAACACTTGAGATGGTCTCTGCCTGAGTGTGCGTGTGTGCGTGTGTTTGTCCTACTGGCCTGACACATATGCGAGTTGTCTGGGTGTGACATGATATGCGAGCACTTTGTAAAATGGAAAAATGAAACACGCAGCAAAATGAAAAGCAAAGACGAGAAGACGACAATGTTGGCCAGGATATGCAGGATTTACGCTTATCGCTGTGCCCACGCTTCCACTCACACACACACACACACATACAGAGGCAACCAGAGGACTTAGCACAGAGTATACGAAGTGACATTTTCTATTTACACACACACAGACACACATACACATTGGCTGTGGCCATTTTTATGGCTGGATCCTTGCATATCAGATGGCCAAAAAGGAGTGCCATAAATCCATTATGCCATGATTTGTTATTCAATATTTTGTTAGTAGATTAACTTGCCTGCCGCACATTTGTTTGCCACCAAAGGCGCTGAAAGGATAATGCCACAGCGTGCGGCTAACAAACAGGACGAGGACTATCTACGAATTAAGCTGTGTGGCCGCCTCGGCGAAAACATAATTTACAAATCTATTTATCATATTAGCGCCTATTCGGCAAACAGCGGGTGCTCGCGTGTACCAAGTGGCATGCGGCATGCGGCATGCGGCATGTGGCAAGTGGAATCTGATACTTGAACTGCACCCCAGGCGAAGCTGTGTCCCACCAGCTCAGCTGACCACTTAAATCACCACAAAAATGGGCATTCGAATTGAATTTATGACACCCGACAACAAAGTTGTTTATGCACGCTCAACGCCCCCAAGGATGTGCTATTTATGATATACTGAATGCGCCCCAGCTCCAAAAACTTGTCCTTCGCTGTACACTTGACCTCTGTTCCTTATGGTCGGCCGGCAATTTATGGCCACTTAACTAAGCCATGGCATCAACTTGACCGAAAAAAAGAAACGCCCAAGTCGCACAAAGAGATGGCTGCAAATCAAGTTGCAAAGAAAATGATAAAAAAAAGAATCGAATAAATAAAAATCCATATAGAATTATTTGATTGACCCACTGATTGAGTGTTCGATTGACTGTCTTTGATTATAAACATGAAACATGAACTTGGTACATTAAATAAATAATGATATCTATGCATAGAGAATGTATTGTCTTCAATAATTGACTGACTGATGAAGGCAAGCAACAATTACTCTGCGATGTAATATGTTAGATATGTCAATCAGTGCAGCCCTCTATATATACATATATCATTTTTCACTCACCTCAATACGATTATCGTCCAGCTCCAGCTCAGTCAAGCTCCAGAGCTCAGCAAACACCGTGTCCCCAATAAAATTGAGATTGTTATGGGTCAACTTGAGCAGATTTAGATTGCCCAATCCGCGGAAGATCTCGCTAGTCAGTACATTGATCTGATTGTAGGCCAGATTCAGGTAGGTGAGCCGTGCCATGTCCGCGAAGAGTCCTTCGTGCAGAGTACTGATGTTGTTGTTGTTCAGRAAGAGACGCTCGCACAGCGGTAGATTGCGGAATGCATAGCGATCCATTTCAAAGATCTGATTGTGCTCCAGATTCAGTTCACGCAAGCGTATGTGATTGGCGAAGGCATCCTGATCGAGGGCCATAATGTGATTGTTGTTCAGAATGATGCGCTCGAGGAAGGGCAAATTGGCAAAGGCATAGCTCTTGACGATCTCCACCTGGGAGTACTCGATGACGATGCTGCTCAGATTCTTCAGCGGCTCAATGATCATGGTGGGTATGTAGTCCAGGCGTGCATTGTTCTGGATGACGAACTTGAGCTCGCGCAGACGCTTCTGCTGATAGAAGCGCGTCCAGGTGGTATCATTCTGATGCAAGCCCTCCGAGAACACCCAGCACTCGGCCTTCTGCACGGGAATGTGATTCTCGTCCGGCGTGCAGTAGCACATGAGCTTCATATCACGTCGGCGCATACAAAAGCCGGTGGTATCGATGGGTCCGTTGTAGCCAGTGATGCCTGTCAAGGCGCTGCTGCCACTGCTGCTGCCATAGGCCGAGCTGCTAGTGTAGTAGCCGCCATTGTTATTGCCGGTCACGGCCGATGCGGAAGCAGAGGCGCCCATATTGCTGTTACGTCCACGATTGCTGCGTCGCTCCTCCTTATCCCGCGAACGAGCCCCAGCGGGCGCCACGAGGCAACTGCTCAAGAGCAGCAGCAAGCCCAGCAGCTTCCACATTCTGTGGCGCTGATGATGATGCGGCAACATTGCGAAGGCGGGCCGCGGGTTCTTCGCTCTTGGCTAAAATGAATCAAACAAAAACCACGAATGACTCAGTCAATAAAATTTGTTTATCTGGCGCCAAGTGGAGGCAACGTAGCAGAGCCGGGCAGGTGGCCCAGCTACAATACAATAAAATGTGAACAGAGCTGAAATTTTCAATGTGGCTACAATTGTTAACTAGAACAGCCGTCGCTATGGAGTGTGGGCTCACAAGGGGTGTAATGGAAGACAGGAGATATAGGTAATAAAATTTCTGAATGTCAATGAAGCTTACTCACTTAATACTCTATAGCAATGAGAGGGTATATATACAGCTTAAAGTTTTCTCGTTTATCGATCAAAAAACTCATATTCTTATCCAAAGACAAGTATACAATAAATATGAAATAAAAAAAAGGATTGGTAAGTAGACTTGGTACAGAATATATAGGTTAATTGAAAAAAAAATATTAGGAAATTATCTCTCAAACTATTTTTTCCGTCTTTCTAAAAAAATTATTATTTTTTATTTTATTTTTTTTTTTAACACTTTATTATTAAACACTTCAAATATTTCTACAGGGTTTTTGATCTGTTGACTGACTAGGAAAAATACCATAAAAATCTTTTAACACTTTCTACCATTTTTCCGATAAGTGTTTTATATTCTCCACATTTTGCCGCATCTATCATCAAGTTTACTCCCATTCGAAATATCTTCTAATCGAATACTCTTCACTTGTCCTCTTCAACAAAGTTTTGCATTATAACCATTTGATTCTCTTTCGCGCACTTCCTTCAAAACTATCAAAATCTATATACGCTCATTTACCCACATAGTATCTTCTAGTTTTACCCCCTTCTCTCTACTTCCTTTATGTGCTCAACCTGCCAAAGCCATTAAATACTGTTTGCTCTCGATATTATTGCGTCCATTTGGAGCGCACACTAAAAACTTTGAATTGCCAAACATCAAAAATTTGATGCCACATTAAAAGCGTAAATTCTGGACAAACACGTCGTTCGGCATTCGCATTCAGGGTGTGGCATTGCGTCGTCTCGAATTTCATTTATTACACTGAAAAGTGAGGCGGCTTTCAATTTATTGTGCTCGGACCCCTTTCGGTGCTGCTTAAAAGTTAAAGCGCTCCATAAAAATGCTAATTAATGTTGTTAACTTTTTACTTTTCGCTCGTATTTCATTTCGCATTTTGTCTACGTCTCTTTTGCCCGCTCTTTCGCTCTCTATCGCTATCTCTCTTCTTCTGCTTTGCCTTTCTTTGATTTTCCGGCTTTTTCAATGAATGCCGACTGTGAAAAGTTCATGACAAGGCTGTTTTTCAGCTGCCTACCCGCTGGCTTCATTTGACGCTCTGCTGGCTCTGGGCACAGCCTTCTCCCACCCCACATAAACAAATTTATTGCGCTCATAAATAACTGCAACACTGTCGCTGATTGTTCGCTCAGTGGTGAACGGCTTCATGAAGTGCCCAGCGGCCATGAGCCGCCCCTTCCCCACCCCCTTAGTCCTTAGTCAATTGCATTTTAAGTGTCATTTGGCAAAGTGCTCTCTAATTATGATCGTATTTTTAATAAATTAATAAGTCACATCTGACATTGTGCATATTTTTGGATGTGCCCGCTCCACCCCCCTCTCCCTCTTGTTCTTTTCTCTCAGTGCCTGGGCATAATGAAGTGTAAATAAGTTATTGGCAGTTGTCAAGTGAGTCATCGTTATCGAAGCCTGGCAGCCAGGCAGCCAGGCAGGCATTCAGGCATTTCGCCAGTGATTTGCATAAAATATTGTCTTCACGCTTAAAATCAGTTAGTGGAAAGGGCCGTGGTCTTAGCTCCAAAAAGCTGAAAGCTGTATGCTGTTAGCTGTAAGCCGAAAGCTCACAGTCATTTGACTTATTGACTTTGGCATGCTTCATTACATTGATTATCGTTATAAATTTTAAATAAAATGATGATAAGTGTTTTGATTGTTGCTGCTGCGATGCCACGCTGTAACGCCGCTCAAGTTGGCTTAGCAACGAGACGTCCTATGCAGAGTTCAAGGTTTCAGGCGTGGATTAACTGCTCAAGAGACAAGCAGCCGTAGCACTTGATGGCTTCAATTTAAATATCAAAGCAAAGTCACAAACTAAACTGACAAACACAACCACAAATGAGAAATCTAACACGATGTGAAGAGTGACAGAGCGAGAGAGGGAGCGAGGGTGTGTGAGAGAGAGAGAGAGAGATAGAGCGAGACCTTTACGGTTCTATATCCTTCAAATTTTTAAGTGTGCTGTCAAGCAGCAAATCAAAAATATATGTATGTATGTGTGCTCCGATGCAAGTTGTGTGTGTAATTAGATTTTCACACACACACATACACACTCGAAAAGCAATCCATATGTGAATACATTGGCACTTTTGCAATAGCAGCAGCAGCTGGAAATCGTCGCTGACAGCCACAGCCAATTACTCAAAGCTGCTATAGCTTTACAAGGAGTTGGGCGTGGTTTAGGGCGTGTCAGCAAATGAAAAATCAATTTGTTGTTTATGCATAAATCATGTGATTTATGTGACTTCTAACAGCATTCATAAGTCATTTATCAACATTGCAGAAAAACTTTGCAAAACAAGCCAGACAATAACAATTGAGACACACTGTAAGCATAATAAATAGACGGAGCACACTTAAAACTCAAGTGAAAGTCAAGCAAATCAAATTTGTAACCAAAAGAATTCACAGACAGATATATGTGGAGAGATAGAGATAGATAGAGAGAGAGACAGAGAGAGGGAGGTACAAAGAGAGAGAGAGAGCCATGGAGCTGGAGCTATCTAACTTTTTGCCACAATCAAAATGTGTGTGTGTAGCAAGCACAATAAATATAACCTTGACGACAAACAGTTGTTGAAAATTTCAAATAAACATAAACACTAGACTGCAGAATACCCTGTAACTTGCCATGAGATATTTGCAAACTTTTTGATCAGAAAAATATATATACAGAAACGTTTGACTCATTGGAAAGCTGGGAGTAGACACACAGAAATATTCTGTAATTCATTCATTCTAATAAAGTTTATCCACAACAATTTTACTCCAACACCTACCTATAGTTAGACAATTCTATCCACAATAATAGTCTACCCATTTCAAAAGTGTCCACAATATAAATTCAATTGCTGTGGGGTATAATTATCCTGCAGGCATTGAAAGCAAAAGCAGAGCACATGGCTCCTTCTTCCCATTTCTTTAGCTGCCCTGCAAAGTGGGCCAAATTGCAACAAGAAGCCATTTGTCTTCTTGTTTATAATTTCGATTAAACTTTCTGTGTAAGAGGCGCACACAGACACACACACACACACACACACACAGGAGCAGACACATATGTTTCAAGTGTGTGTGAAGGGGGTCTCCTGCCGCCCCTGCTGATGTGCGATAGAGAACTTGTTGACGTCGACCCACTAGGAAATTGGAGCAAAGCCGCAGCTAAGCTGTCAGCTCAGCCCAAAAGGGAGCCCTGACTGCAGTGGCAGCACCAGCAGTGGCAGCAGGGGCAGCAGCAGCGGCAGCAGCATATAAATTGTTGCTTGAATGGAAATTTCTTCACTTTAACGTTTGGCAATTCTTTTGCAATAGCTCGCAGTGCTGTGTCTCACAGCAAAGTTTGCTTATCAGGCCACATCGCCTATATATATATATTTATATATATTCTGTTCGAGTGAGTGTGAAATGAAGCTGTGCGAGTAGCTGCTGATGAAGACAATGGCAAACCCGAGAGTCTGGCAAAAATCTGATCCCGTTGGCGGCTGCTGCTCCTGCTGCTGCTGCTGCTGCTGCTGCTGGAAATTGTTTTCAATTTTCGTTATTTGACAAATGGTGACACTTCCGCTGTGGCAGAGCCCGTGCACACCAGCAGGACTTTAACAATATGTCTGTCGCAGTTGGGGGCGCGCGCGTGTGTCTGTGTGAGGTTTTGTCAACAATAAGTTTATACGTCAGAGGAGTCGTTGTTGTTTATGACATGGCATGGCATCCAACCAACCCACCCACCGAGCCACCCAGCAAGCCGAGCGACTGCTCATCATTGCTCGTCAGCGCTCACATTATGAGCAGCTACATCCTGTGTCTGCCGGCTCGCATGTGAATAACTTTAAGCTGTGACATGGCACACATGTACATGCTGCTCATCCTGGCCCTGGCCAGCGGACGTGCTTGACTTTGACTGAATGCTCAGTGCTGGGCTGGCCGTTGCCGGGCCGGACTGCTGACAAGTCAGTAGCCGTCGTCTACTTTATTTGGCCGCAAATAAAAAGGGACAAACGACACGTCGGACAGTTGGCGGCATTCCATATAAACCAAAGTGCAGTCATGCCTCGATCCAAAAGTCCGAGGACTCTGACAAATGGCAATGGTGAGGGCCAAAGTGCCCTACAAAGCGAAGTGCCCATCAATCAAACGAGTTATGACATTCGCACGTAGCTCGCTCACTTTGTCTGTCTTCATCTGTTCTATTCTGTTTGTGCTTTCTTTGTTTATCACTTATATTTATATACATATATATTATTCTTATTGAAATGTTACATTTGATTTGCTTAGTTGAGCGTCTCAGCTTGATTTGTTTGCGAATGGATTGTCACCTGTCAACGACACATTGAGTCATCGACTGCTGCAGTTAGATTAAAAAAGAGTTTAAATCTGTCAAGAGGAGTGGAAGGATAAGGGAATGTGTGTATGTATAGAAGAGAGAACAGACGAAAGGTAAATCGGAATATTTATTGTGTTATAACGGTTCTTTTTCAGGATTATTGCCATCTGATAAAACATTTTCAATAACTAACAGAGGAAGTTTAAAGCCATTTGAAATTCTGTATGAATTTTTAAATAATATTGGTTGTTAAGGACAGTAGTAATAGTAAACAAGTAGGTCTGCTATGGAAACATAAATAATATAAAGAAATAGCATATCTTCTATTCTCATATTTTTCATAACCTTATATACTTACTACCCCTCGCTTTATTTACTTTCTATCAACTATAGTATAACTTGCTAGAAAATATTGGAATTTTACGCAATTTCTTTGCTTTTATGTGAATTCTCTTAAGTTTTGTTACTCGTTTCTTCTTGCTTTTCTTTTGTCCTCTCGTATTTTATATTTTTTTCATCACATTCTCTGTTCTCAGTCTTTCTTTCTCGTTCTCTGTCTTTTTTTTTCTCTCATTTCCTCTCTCTCTCTCTCTCTCTCTTTAATCTTGTTTTTTTAAAACTTCTTTAAATTTTCTTTTCAAATCTGTAATTTTTTACATTTTTTTTCTGATACTTTCATTTTTTGTCTTCCCTTGGTATTTGATCTTCTTACCTTTTCATTTTCTCCTCTCTAAGCTCTCACTTCCTTTCACTTCCCTAAGTTTTCTCCTTTTCTCCCCTCTCTTACTGTTTTCTGCGTTTCCTCCTATTATCTAATATCTTGCTTCCTTCTCTGACGTTTCTGTTCTAAGTCTCTTCTTATCCCTTCTTCACACGCTTCATTCCACCTCCTACACATTTCACCTTTTCTGCTACCCTCCCACCTCTTCCGCACTCATTACTTTACTAATATGGTATATCAGGCAATGAGAGCACAACTAAAATAAACTCACTAAAAACTTTTGCTACACTTTAACCCTTCTGCGTGCCATGCCATAAATGGCATCGCTCCACGCTCAGCGGGGCGTGATAATCAGCTGTGAATAAACTTTTAGTCATATTAGTTTTTTTTTTCCCCATTCTCCTTTATTTATTGTCAGCCATGTCGCACTCTATAAATATATATGTATATGTGTATATATGCATATTAAATTGCTTGCCATTTGAATGTGACATTTCGACTGTCATTTGTGAACCCTTTCGCCGTTTCATTTATTATTATCATACGAAAAAGTCATTGCCAGCTGTCGCAGCAAATCATACACATACATACATATACTATATACTACTGCTAGGTGCTCCTGTTGTCAACCAAAAGCTGAGCTATGCCAAAATCTACGAGTCCCTGCGAGTGTCTCTCCTTGCTGTTGCAGTTCCTGTTGGCTTTTCTACTCTGCGCACTTTTGACTACTTTGCAGTTGAGGTCCTAGTCAGCCCTCCGTCGCCCATTTTCCTGCCCTTCCTCCATCCTCATTCTAGTTACGTTCTTCTTCCACTTTTGGCTTTTAGCATACCTGTCAGCAAAATAAAATGAAAAGTAGTTCTCAGTGGAAACTTTCGCTCATCGTCGCCAGCCGCCATATTGTTGACACATATTTTCGTTGCAAAACTTATATACATATATATATATATGCAAGCGCCCAGCCACGCCCACAAACTGCAAAAAAGAACAGAACAGAAACGCCCCACTGCACTTGAGCCAAGCAGCCAGCCCCATTACTTTTGGCTGTCAGTTTTTGTTTTTTTTTTTTTTTCACTTAGAATTCGTAGCTTGGCTTTTATTTGCCTTTTTTTTTGCGTTTTGCATTTTGCTGGTTTCCTCTCAAGTGCAGAGCTTTAACTTTTGATGCACAATTTGTTTGCTCGCCTCGATTTTATTTAAGCCAACTGGCAACTATTTAATGCTCAAATTGGCAGCACCTGGGCCAAACTGTTGGCGGCTGACTCCGGCTGACTGTCCCCGGTAGATAAGTAGACCTGAGTTTGCCTTTGACTCTTGCCTTTGCTTTGGCCATACTTTAGCTATTGCTGTTTGGTATGAAATGGGTATTATGGAGGACTTTTATATATCATCCATCTATAGAAATCGAACTCTGCTGTAAATATTTATGTACAGCATGATAATTATCAGAATTATAGCTATAACTATCACTATAATAATAGTAAGAGTTTTTAGCACAGCATCTAATCTAATAGCTCTCTCAGCTTTTTTGGCCAATCACAGGGTATTTGCTAACACTTTCAAGAAAGCCATTGAATTTTGTATTTTTGTTGTTTTTTCTTCTTCTTCTTCTTCTGTTTGAAGCCATTTTGTTGTTTGACCAAGTTGCCTTCACCTTTGTGTTGACACGCAAGGAATGGAATGAGAAAAATGCAGATAGAATCAAAGTAAGAGAAGAGAGTGAGGAAACGAGAGAGAGGTAGGGAGAACGAGAAGCGAGCCAAGAAATGCAGGTGTGAGAGAGGCAAGCGAAAAATTATTATTTTCACCGTCGACTGCAAGTTTGTTGCAACTTTCTGAGGCAAAGTGAAAATTTGTCATGCTCGTTGAGCAGCTTGGCTAAGTATGTGTCTTGCTTTATCCGCTGCTGCTGTCTGATATAATAAATTTCTTCAGTTTAGCTCAAATGCTCATGAAGACAAACATAAAACCGAAAATATAAACACAAACACAAGCGCAAACACAAGCACAAACACTACAAACATAAATACAGACCAATGAGCCCGTTGGCGCTGCGGCGGGCGGCCGGTCGGACGGACGGGCTGGTGAGAGAATTTTATGTCGAAAATGAGTCGTCGTCGCCGTCGTCTGGGTACAAACTTTTAACTCAACTGTCAAATATTTTAACAATTTTGCATAAAACATTATGAAGATGCCAAAGGCGTAGGCAATGCCCGTCGCTCCCCCTCGCCACTCCCCACATCCCATATTCACATAGCCTACTCTATCGCACATGTCTGAGCTGATGATTTTGAAAGTGAATTTGAAATGAGCTCAACTCGGCTTTAAGTCTATGGTTAACTGTAGTATCTGCCGCTTTATTCAAAGCAGCGGTTTACGCTAGGACTGTTTCTCCTTGTCTTAGTTATCCATCTCTTTCACTCTGCCTTTAATTAACTCTCTTTAAGTTTATCAAGGTATACCTCTAACTCTACGTTCATTTTTTATTTACTCTGTAGTTCGCTTCGAAAATGGTACAAGGTTATCTCCCTCTCTTTGCATGTTTCTATGAATCTGTCTTCTCTCTCTCTTTCTCCCCGTCTCTCTGTCCCAATCTGTCTCTATATCTCGTTCTTCCTTTCTCTGTCTATCTCGCTTTTTATATCACCCTCTCTATATATCGCTCAATAAATCTCTGTACTCTATCTCTACATGCCTCCCTCTCTCTCTCTCTCTCTCTGTCCCTCTCTTTTCTTTGTATTTCTGTACTTCTCTCTCATACTAGCCTGTATTTATTTTACTTGTTCCCTCATTTTCTGTCTATTTCTGTTATTCTCTCATACTCTAGCTCTGTCTCTCTCTCTTCTCTCTCAGTCTCCCTCTCACTCTCTCTCTCTCGTACTCCCTCTTTCTTGTTCTTTGTCTGTCTGTCTATTTTTCTCCATATTCCATATGTCATAATGCATGACTTTCACTCTTTGTTTCTGTCTTTCTCTTCCTTACCTCTGCTTTAATTTAAATCTACCTTTCATCTCTTTATCACTTAATTAACTAAGTCCTTAAAGTTTTCCATTTACACATTCCATTGTTTGCCCTCACACTTGTACACATATACTTATATATATATACATACATATATCTGTATATATCTCAGACTATTTGCTCTTCTGTCTTGCTCACCTTTTGATTAAGTGTATAAAAAGGGCCGCGTCACGTACGGTCCTCTGTAACGCAGTAAATTTTTTCCGCTGACTAATGCGCTGCTCTGTAAAGAAACAAAAAAAAAAACGTAAAAGATAAACATGAATTAATGTGATAAATTCAGCTGTATATTCAGTCATATATATTTATGTACATATATAGATATTCATACTCTTATATGATAATCAAATAAATACGACAAATTATTTTAGCTTTGTAGCTTATTTTAAGCTCCGCCTAAAGCTAGCTTTAAGCTCCAAGTACCCAGCCATAAATAGTTCCATTAGGTAATACAAAACTTTGGGTTTGTCTATGCTGACTACTTTAATCTCATATCTCATTTGGTAGATAATAATATTATTAGTCGCATTGTCAGCTGTGGTTGGTTTTTTGAGGGTGGAGGGCGTGGTCAGGTGAGTTGTGTTTGCGTACAGCACAAATCTAATTGCGTTAATTTCCAGGTAATTGTAGCCCATGACCAGTTGTTAGACGCGCCGAAACGGCGGCCCAGGACATGCGACTACGTAAAAACTATTAACACGCAGCTGAGCAGAGCCGAGCAGAGCAGAGGGCGCTCTTCCCACATGTGGGCGTCGACTGGGGGGGTGTATGCATGGGCGTGGGTCATTGCGCGTTATTCAAATAGTTTTTATTTACCACGCGCCGCTCATTGCTTACTGCGTGTCCATTGTCCACAAGTCGGACGACAGCGACGATGACGAGTGGTGGACGCAATTCCCTAGCCTAAACTTAATTGTCACGGTCCACACACACACACAACATTCTCTTGTTGTGTTTGTGGCATAAAAAGAAATAATTGCATTTGCTGCGCCTACAAAAAAAAGTCGAAAAGCACAAGCACATGACAGAACAATCACACACACACAAAAAAAAGTGATACGCACACACACATACACAGACCTACACCCATACACTAAAAAAAAACAAAGGCCTTCTCACACCTACTTAGAAGCTATACTACTTCCAAAAAAAATACTTGTTTAGGAGTCGCCAAACGCGGAATACGATTTTTTACACTGAGAAAAAATGCGTGTCTTTCTTAAATATCTGCAGAACGGAGATAATAATATATTATTATGTTAAAAATATTTTTTTTTATATTTTCTTAATCGTAAAAAATCATAACAAATCCAAATTTTCACTCTTTGCATGCAATTCAACAAAACTTCTCTCAGTGTACTTGGCCCGTCGTGTTGTTTTAGTTTTTTCTTTTGCCTTGTCGGCAATTGTAATCGTTTGGCTATCGCCCACATCATGTTTAGTTTTTTTTACCCATTGTTGTTAATTATGCCCGCATTATTTGAACAGAGCTTTTTTTTTCTTCGGTGCGGAGTTGGAATTTTATAAGCTTTATGTTTATATTGATGTAGGCACAAAAAATACACTGGGGATTGGCTCCAACTCGCCTCCTATTCTCTCTAATAGTTGACTCTATTGCCATATCGTGGCATTCAAATCTAACTGATTGCTGGGACCCCACTATGCCCCACTATACAGCACTATCCCCACTATCCCCACTAAATGTCAAACAAGTCCAAAGCGCGGCGGCTGCTAAGGGCAACCGACAGAAATGTGAACCAAAGCTCAAAATCCATGACAATTTACTATCAAGTGGGCACGACATGTATATATAGTAATACGAATGAGCAGCTATATGGTTCGAGAATGATAGACTAGATGATACTCATTAAGTGAGAAATTAGAGGAACTTTATCTTAAAAGAGTTTTGACATTTAAGTCTGGAGGTGTTCGATAGCCTTAAACTATATATATCTATGCAAAGACAGACCAGCAGATACCCTTTAGCCTATTAATGAAAGCAAAGTCTTGATTTATTTTTTCTATTCAAGATTTAAGTAGTTCCCATTTGCTAACAAATACTAACGAAACGATTCTAAAATCTAGTTTCATACAGGCTTCATAAGCTAGTGGTATATCGATATATATCGATTACACATAAATCTAAAGCAGACAGCAAAATCAAATACACTCACATTAATAAAACAACATAATTTTCTATCAACTCCATTTCACTTATTACAGGGTATTATAATATTGCAGTAAGGCAACCCATTTTCCATGGTAGCAAACGTTAGGAGTACTATGCTGTCGCAGCTCAAAGCTATGTCCTCTTCCCTTGAGATTTAATCTCTTATTTGCAAGTGAATAAAGAAGAGAACTTCAAGCTTCAAGAAGTTTTACGAAAATTGCAGCAAAACGTTTCCATTTCATGTGCGGCAATAAAAATTTAATATAATTACGCACAATTTCCAGCTGAAGTTTATGTGAAGCACACACACACACACACACACACACAGACAAGCAGCGAGTAGGAGAGACACTTATGCATTGCCAGGAGCAGGACTTGATGTGACTTTTGACAGCGTTAGGGTCCTTTCGCCATTCGCCATTCGCCTTTCGCCTTTCGCCTTTCTCCTAGCCAAGACAAACATAAACACTTGCGAGTGGAAGGAGGATTTCCCAGGGTATCCGCAGTGGAGGTTGCAGCTGATTTCATAAAGTGTAACAAGCCAAAGCTTTGAGCTCAACGGCTGCGACAAATAAGCGACAGACACAGGACCCTGGGCAAGGGGGCTGAGGGGCAAACCTCGAAGCTGCCTGCAAGTCGACAATAAAGCGTTGCGGAAAAGTTTACAAGTTGCCGCCAGGGCGAAGGATGCCCGCAAAGTGAAAGGGGGCGGGGACAAGTGTTGTGGCTGCTACACAGACAAGCACACACAAATACACACAAACTCAAACACATACGCATACGCACACACACAGGCTGAATACCGGGAATACACCGCGTATCGCCAGCGAGTTAAATATTTGTTATATCCTGTAATGCAAGTAAGTGTCTTCAAAAAGGCTATGTGAATTATCAATATACCAGTAGTAATATTTCCTCTAGCTACATTATATAAGTACTTATGCCATTCTCAACTTTATCGAGAATGATATTTATCAGACAGGGTATCTCCTAGTCTGACACATCTGTGGCACGCACAGTTGTTTCTGCTGCGCTTGTTTACATTGAAAGCCCCAAAGCAAAGTCGACAGCGAGCTCCAGTGAATCTGTCGTACATTTTGCTCCACACACTTGCTCCCAGCGTAGTTGTTATTTCTTAATATTGAGTACGGCTACTCGGTCAGCAGCGCTGCCAGCCTCTCTGCTGCCAGCGCAACCAATGATAAAAGCCTCTGCTAGAAGCTAGAAGTCTGTTAGCAACCACTGCTAACAGCCTCTGCTAACATACTCTGCTAACAACCAATCTTAACAGCCTCTGCTAGCAACCACTGTTAGCAGCCTCTGCCTGCAGCCTCTGCCAGCAACCTCTGTCAGCAACATCTGCCAACAGCGATTGCTGGCAGCGGGCATATGTCATTCGACTTAACCTTTGACAGGCTCAGCTGCGGCTGCTCTTCCTTCCATCGACTCCAACCACCTGCCCACAAATTGAGTGGCTGCCAATGTAATCAGATCATTTGCTACGCTTCAGCAGGTAAGCTATAAACTTGTATTTGATTGGAAAAGGAAACGGGAAAAGTCTTTGTCGAAACGCACCTGGCCCACTGATTGGCGCTGTTTTAACAATTAAAATGCTGCTCAGCAGCTTAGCTGTTACATTACAGCTCACTAAGACTTGTAATATAATTTGTGAAAAACTTTCACTTAAAAAAAATAAAATAGAAAGTTTTTTTTTTAAGGAATTGCGCACTTATCCATATTAAAATTTTCACATTTTTTTTTTTTTAAGAAAATGTCAGTCGAACTGTTGTCAACAGTACGCGATCTTTTTTTTTTTTTCCTTTTGAGTAATTGGAT